ACACAGAGAGAGAGAGAGACGGGAAAAACTCGTGGATAAACGTATCGCTCTTTTCACGACTTTCCGTTCTCGCATTAAAAACACGAAAAGTTCAGACAATTAATATTCTAATCAATATTCGATGAATATAAGGAATTTATAAGGACAACACAAAACTAGTAGTAAAACAGGACATACTTGAGCACAGAAAAAAAAGAAGAAGAAGAACAAACCTCATAAGCATGAGAATGCCAAAGTTTTTGCTCTTCTTCAGGCAAGGTTTCAAAGATACGATCAGATACTATATACTCCACCCCTTCAACAAAAAATTCATTACTTATCAAATAGAAAACGGAAATTCAAAAACCATGGCGGATACATAAAATCAAGAGACCAGAGAGCTAGTCAGAAAGAATACCGATTAGGTGGGCGGTGGAATGATCAGAGTCGTAAACAGCACATTGGAGAAAATCTTGATTGAGACGGGTGACATAGTGGTGAGTTTCAATTTGACGATTCATGTCATGGTTGTAAAGTGCAAAAGTGCAAACATGCTGGTTCATTTGTTTGATTGGAGTCAAAGACTGCAGCATTTGAGCACCTTTATCTAGCATGTGTTGCTCCGTTGACATAGGCTTTCCCGGCGGTATCTGCTCCCCTTGACCGTGGGTCCCTGTCGTTGCAGCCATAGACGAAAACAATTAGTATAAGCAGTAGGAAAAAAGTTCAAACCACAGTTCCTCTGATAAGGTGATGGTTATGGTTCAGTGGGAAGATGTTGGATGTTCTATTTTCAGGGGATTTTGAAGAGGACGTTGAGGTTTTGTGGGTTGCCACGTAGGCATGCAAGAGGGCATGACGTGGCAAGTGGTTGCCACGTATTAGCTCCATGGTCAAGGTGCAGGTCAGAATTTGAGGACACGTTTTTAGTATTTGGAGTTCAAACAAATGGCTTTATCATTAGCTATAACATGGATAGAGTTCAAGATATACAAATGGAGTCCAAAACTAAAGGATAAAGATTAGGATAATTGTATTTCTAGAACATTAAAAAATATGGTAATTCCAGATCATAAAATTGTTCTTTTTCTTTTTTGTCTTGCAATCAATATGTCGTTACAGTAAAAGTTGTTATGCATTGAGATGCTATATTGCTC